TATGCTCTCTTATAGTTACATATGGATCTCTTCATAAATAACATGTATTGTCAATTTTCTAAGACAAAGGCTGAAGTCATTCCAAAGAAGGACAATGTAGATGTTTTAAATCCTGCTGACACTCATCATTAACAAAATCACTCTGCGTGATAGACAAATTGACGTGTAGCAAAAAGAATAACAATACAGATGATGATGTGTTCGTGGTACGATTAAAGATTGAAAGTGTCTTGCGTTCTTCTTTTCAGAGACAGAAGTCTTTAGAGGGAATGCCTCTTTTATAGGAGATGAAAAAGTTGCTTTTATCAAAGATCAGTTCCTGACTTCCCATGAAGACTGGCAAGAGGGAAGGGGTTCAGAGGGAGAAGCAGAGAGAGAAGGTGTAGGTGACGGCTAATGATGACTTGTAGTCATTTGGGACCTGGGGGAGGAAAAGCCAAAGCTGCAACCACACTGCAAGCCAGGCGACAAGACGCTTACAGCCCTGGTGACTGGACAGACAGAAGCCTCAGATCCTGTCACCTCTGCATGGCAGGCCAACGTGGGAAAGGCCCTGTGTTCCCTCCGCATCTCCAGAGTACTACATCCAGGTGCCAACTTGAGAAGGGGTCTACTGTGTGTGAATGAGCTACTGTAGGGACAGAAGGAATGAGAGACAGACAGAGACAGACAGACAGAGAGAGACAGAGACAGAGACAAAGACAGAGAGACAGAGAGAGACAGAGAGGCAGAGAGAGAGACAGAGAGAGAGACAGAGGAGAGGGTCAGCAACGGACCTGCTGCGAGTAGGCAGCAGGGAGCAGTGGCTGAGGAGGCCGGGTGTTTGGAAGTCTGACTGTGATGGGGAATGAGCTCACTGCCTGTGGGCAGCAGAGACTCAAGGGGGCCAGCCTGTGCCCAGTGAGTTGTTTGCCTTCCAAAGCTGATTTTCGGCTGTGTTTGTGGCTGGCTGGCATACGAGGTCGGGAACTAGCCTCTGCATGGCCAGTCCTCACATCCCCACCTTCCCTCTCCCCATAGCGAGGAGTCTCGAAGTCCTGAGAGCAGTAGGCAGAGCTCTGGGTGGCTGGGGTTCTCTTCCTCAAGTTCAAATCTCAGTGCTCTGTTTGCTTCCCTGAACCTCTGCGGCAGTCACATACAGTAGACTCCAGACACGGTTATAGTTCCGACTACAGATTAAAATTCTGACTAAAATTCATCTTTTCCCATTCCTCACCCTTCATTTTTGTGGTTGTTTTTGTTATGTGTTTTTTTTTCTATTATATTTTATATTACTGTTATCACTTTATTTTGACTTCTTTATATTTTGATTTTTTTCTTTCCTTATTTTACCTAATTCTATGTTGATTTTTTTTCCTTTTCTCTTGAAATTGGGTGTTTTTGTCTCTTGCTCTGGTCCGCTTTACCAATTTTTTTTTCAACTTTAATCTTGCTTTTTCTTTTGTTTTTGTCTCTTTGCTGGGTACTCCTGTCCTTTATTCTTTATTATTTTTAAGATCATTCATTTCAAGTTGTTCTTTTTAAAAAATTATTATTAAGTAGTTGTACAAAGAGGCTACAATCCCATAAATTAGATTCTGAGTACCATGAATCTTGATCACTGTTACCCTTTCCATCATCCTCCCCCATTATACTATCATGAAATCTTAACTTCATTGTTTACTATTTTTTTTACCACTTTTAATGATGGCATAGTAAGTGTCTTTAATTGATTTATATTATATTTCTACATCTGATATTATTTGGCATTCTCCCCCTCCCCCCCCCCGCCCCCCGGTCCCTGTACTGAGCAACACTAGAGATTGAGCTCAAAACTGCCACTAAAAAATATTGATAGGAATCTGGGAGAGACATGAATCCTGCTCTCACACAAATTACACAGAAACACAAGAAATTTGGAAAAACAAGATGACTCATAACTTTGGTAGCTGAATTTAAAGATAATGACATCGTTGAAATGCCAGACATAGAGTTCAAAGGGACAGGATTTTAAATGACCCATGACCACAAAGAAACTAAAGTAAGCTTATGACTGAAGTAAATAAGTTGAATCAAATCAAGGTTGAATAAGACATTTAGCAAAGAAATGGGAGGAAAAGACCTAAATATAAGTCATGGAAATTAAAAATTCAATAAATATAGCATACTCAACCAAAAGCATTTTTAATAGAATAAAGCAAATAGAAGATAGAAAATCCAGAACTGAAGACATGTTTGAGGACTTATTGCATTTAAATAGCAATTTTTAAAAAAAGAATCAAAATCACAATATCTAAGATCTCTGGGACAGAAGAGACTAAATATGAATCTATAGTGTAGAAGAGATAACTAAGATACAAACTAAAATCATATGAAATCCATTTCCAGAAACTCTATTGTAAAAGTTTCTAATCTAAGGGTAGAAATAGAATGATTTAAGAGATATGGCCTATACACACAATGGAGTTGTTATTTTTTCAGCCATAAAAAGGAAAAAAACTTACCTTATTTGCAGAAAAGCAGGTGGGAGTAGATATCATCATGTTAATTAAAGTAACCCAGGACCAGAAAGAAAAAAAATTCATGTTTTGTTTAATTTTATGTTGACTCTAGATTGTAAAAACGACAAGTAGAACGGAACCTATTCAAGAGGAGAAAGGGGAAGGAGAAAACAGAAGGTGATTTGGGCAAGAATATGATTGGCATAGATTATATACATATATGAAAAATGTCAATTGTGTACACTGCTGTACAGTATAAACAAGCATAAGATTGCACAGTTAATTTACCAGAAACAAACAAAAAACTTCTCTGACTATATCTACGTGGACTGAGAATAACAAGTAAGTAACTCAGAAGCATCATAGTAAAATAAATATGCAGCATCCTATTTCGTAGGCTACATCAATTTCCCTAGTCCTTCATCTCCATTACCACAAATGATATCCATATAAAACCCCCTATTTCCATTCCAGAGATGAAATCCATTTACTGTTTCATTCTTCATCTTGTCATCATTATCTGTAAAATATGGAAACTAATAGTACGGGATAGAGAACACACACATGTGTGATTGTAAGCCAGTAGATATTTCTTATTTACCATGGGAGGAATGGATCACATACAATCATTTTCCCAGAGTCTGTGGTAAGGAGGAAGAACATCTTATTTCACCAGGATATTTATTAGTGACATTTGGGGCACAGTTAAGGAAATGCATTTGTATTGGGACTTTCCACGATTCTGATGTTTTACAGCTACTTCATAAGTGGGAATTCTAGTAGAAGGCTGGTTGCATGTTTATTAAGGCTCTTTGAGAACTGGAGAAGCATCTAGACCGAGAACACATTTGTGTGCCAGCATGAAGCTTTTACATTTCCACAAGTGCAAATTGATGGAAATGTATTGACATGTTCGCCCTTCTTTCTGCTTTATTTCTTGTGAGGAAAAGCCTTTTTGTCCCTCTCTCCTTCCCTCCCTCAGTTTTTCTGACCAGAAACTTGATTCATTGGATGTTTTCTTTACTTCATACTTATAACCTCCAAACTCTCAGCCTCACACAGTAACTCATTCTGGTGATGTGTGTAGGTAAGTTTTTTTTTGCTCAAGGGTTAAAAGTGTTTGAATAGCAGCCTAGGGATGAGGAGCAAAGTAGCATTCAATGCTGTGGGCAGAGATGGGCCTGGACTCCAAATTCTGCCTGCCTTTCTGTTTTATGCTTATGACTAGAATACTTTTGTAACCACTTAGTAAATTGTTACAATTAAGAATTCAAATGCTTGCTCAAGGAGCTTTCAGGTTTTCTTTCCCTTTTTAAAATGTTTATGGTAAACGTGATACACAGTCAGGCATTGATTGCATTTCTTTTTGAACGGTGTCACCCCTTCCCTCGTTTTCTCCCAGTTTTCCACTCCCAACCTTCCTCCCAAGTTGTATAGTTCATTTCCAACGAATTAGTTTACCCTTTGTCCTACTATTTGAGTATTTTTTTTTATTTTATAGTTTCATGACCCGAGGCAAAAATCATATTCTGCTTCTCCTTGTTTGTTTCTTTTTTAAACAGACTAATAAAACATATTGGCTGGCTGCACTGGACATTGATGAAAGTGAGCTCTGTGACTTGTGGGTGGAGGTGGGAGGGAGGCCATGGGCGGGAATGAGGGACCAGATAACACTATGCTATTACCTGGTGCAGGGAAAGGCAACCCCGCTGTATATCACCACTAAAGCAACATTAAATTAGAAAAAAAATATAGCCTAGTCTACTGTAGTCTAATATAGGGTACTTGCTGGTAATTAGATGAGGGGCTACATATAAAATATGTAGAGTAGGACTTGTATGGTGAAGAATTCAATAAATAGTATACAATGTTTCTAAAGCAATAATATTTGGGATACATAAAACTACTGTGTTTTTTTTAAATCTTGGCCAAGGAGAATGTGAAAACATATTGCAAGGTATTTTTTGTAGCTCTATCTATCTATAATTTGACTTCATTAAAATCAGTGGGTCGCAACCGCTTGGCTAGCTGAATTTTGCCTGGTCTCAAAAATAAGTATGACATAGAGGAAGGGAAGCCTTCTCTATGGGAAGCATGAAGCACCCCTAGACACCATATTTTCTTACAGTGGTCACTCAGTATAAAATGGCTTATGATATTTGTGAGTATTTAGAATCTGTGCCAACTAAAGCAGTCTCTGGACGCACGGTGGTCAGACAGGATTTGTAGACATACAGTGAAAACATGGTGTGGTGTACAGTATTCGGTAGGGTGCAGAGGTCACCAGCCAACCATGGCCTGGATTCTGCCATTGCTAACTTCATCCCCCACTTCCTGAGGGGAGAAGGCAAAAGGGCAAGACGGAGGCAGCGCTTTTGTGTCATGGGGAAGAAGGGATGGTGGTTAACTTGGCAGAATGTACAAAACCCGCCTTGGACGCTCCAGCCTGGAATCTCAGGTGACTGAGTCTGCACCCTCGCAGTGGGGTGATCTCACGTGATGCTTTTCTTGTCTTTGCAGATTCCCCAGATTAGTTACGCGTCCACGGCCCCCGAGCTCAGTGACGACCGGCGCTACGATTTCTTCTCCCGTGTGGTCCCACCGGATTCCTTCCAAGCCCAGGCCATGGTAGACATCGTCAAGGCTCTGGGCTGGAACTATGTGTCCACGCTCGCGTCTGAGGGAAGCTATGGAGAGAAAGGTGTGGAATCCTTCACGCAGATTTCCAAAGAGGCAGGTAGGAAGAGATTTCAATCCTCCAGCTGACCTCTGCTCTCCAGATAACCTGTGCCCTGTGGAGACCGTGGAGGAAAGGCTGGAGTTCCCCTCCCTGCCCCGCTCCGGCCTTCCCTGCTTCCTGTGAAGTCTGTATACAGCCTTTGTCTGAAATGTATGCTGGTTTGGGACAGATTTTCCAAGGCCTGACACTAAAGTCAGTAAACGACCTCTTAGAAGGATGAAGGACAAAAAGAAAACAATAAGCACTAAAATTAATACCTTACATATACCTCATAATTAATTGGAGGGGCTTCCAGTCTGCATCTGTTAACCAAACGGGGGCCATTTGAATGCTGGCTGCCTCTCCTCCCTGCCTCTCTCCAAAATGAGAAGCTGATGAGAATTCCCTGACACACACACACACACACCGTTCTGACTTCCAGAGGGGTTACAACAATGCCTGGGAAGACTTGGCCAAAACAGCATACATCATCCAAGGAGCAGAATGCATTTCGATAGATAGTCATTCACACTTCCAGAGCATTCTTTTACGTTTGTTTATTTGGCTCTAGCTGAAAATTAATGGGCTCTAGTGTTTTTTTCAGACGTCTTTGACGGGCAGATTTTGAAAAAAATGACATAAAGTTTTCCAGTTTAGGGATCTTTACGATAAATATTAGGGCTTTCCTTATATCACACACACACACACACACACACAGAGATAGAGAGATAGAATTTCTTATGTGATTCTTATGCTAAAATAAGGCCTCAATTTTATTGGCAAGGATTTTAGAATTTTATCCATCAATAGCGTTATTGTATTGACTGGCCCAATGGACTGATCTTATAAACAGAGAAGCAGCAGTCCATTGCGTGTGGGATGGAGTCGTGAATGTTGAAGTGAGGGCTTTGAGCATCTGAGTCTCAGACTACAGGTGTATGTTCAGATGTTCCATGTTTCTGCAAATGGCTCACAGACCTGCACCTGGCTCCTGAAAGGTGGAAGCGAGGCTTGTTTGAAAACTCATAGCTTTTAACCCAGTACATGATTAACAGCTGTGACTGCAAATGTCAGTGATGGCTGGATCATTCCTGTGTCTTCTCTCTCTCTGACTGAGTGCTCTTATTCTTAGCAATATTCTTACAACGTGGATCATTGTAATCCTACTAAAATGTCTAGATTCAAGCACACATACGCGCACTTCCTTCCTGTGTTGTGCTGGCTTTGCTTGTGCTCCTAGAGTATTCACTAAGCTATCTTATCACATTTTCATGCAATTTCTTCCCTAGGTTTTTCTTTCCTCATCCTCAGAACTGTAGGATAAGACCATTCCTGTATTGTGCACCACAGTATCTACAGATGCCATGTTCCTAAGGAGGGAGAAATGCCTCGTATAATTTAGTTAGAAACTTTCTGATTACAGGGAGGGAAAAAACCTATCTTAACTCTGGCCTTGTGGCATGCTTTGATTTATAGGATTCATTAACAATTGGCTTCATGAGTCCCCACAGAGATAGCTAATCATTTTGGAGGGTGTTTTATTTCTTCCTTTTTTTCTCTGAATTCTACTTTGATCAAAATAAGGCTGGAGGCTGACAGAGAGAAATATCTAAAATATTAGGATGGAAAGATGGCAAAAGATCTAGAGGGAAAAGATGGGTAACATACTGAGATAAAGTTCAAAAATAAAGCTCACATAACATCTCGCATTATGTAATTGCTGTCAGGGGATAGGGACTTTAATACTGATTTTCCTATTGGATAAAAGAAGAACACTGGGTGCTCTGGTACATCATTTATAGTATCTGTGAGATTAAGACCGTGTTGGTCTTTCGACGAGGATAGCTTTCCCTTTCTTAGGATTAAGGCAGATGTTTGCTGTGGGCCTTTATAAAACTATGCTCTATGAACAGGTCAGAAGCAAGGATTGTTAGGTTGTTTTTTCCGCTCTTGTCATTTGGTGGAAATGTAAGAAACAATATCAGAATTTGCTCCATAATGACTTTACAAAGAAGTGCAGTCTTTGTAAGATGCTTAGAACACCCTCGATATTCATTCAACCCAATCATATGTTTAAATGCCAAGCTCAATATTGAACATTGTGTCATTGACAATTTGAATGAAATCCTTCAACTTTAGAATGTTTCCCTTTGGAGACAGGATAGCTTAAAAGTCAGCTAGTGCTTCTTAATGTGAGAAAACAGAGAGTTTTCAGGAAATGTCTTGAAAATAAGGTTTTGAAAATATTTTTTTTTCTAAGTCTCATAGTACTCAGGGAAAAAATAAGATGTATTCCAACTGTACCATAAACATAAATAACTTAAACTCACATGTGTTTTTAATGGGGTCCTTTCTTCGATTTAAATTAAAAAAAAGGTGAGTCTGGGTACTGGTGGCTCATGCCTGTTATCCTAGCTACTCAGGTGGCAGAGATCTGAGGATCATGGTTCAAAGCCATCCCAAGCATGAAAGTCCATGAGACTCTGATCTCCAATTAACCACTAGAAATCTGGAAGTGGAACTGTGGCACAAAGTGGTAGAGTGCTAGCTTTGAGCAAAAAGAGCTCAAGGACAGTGCCCAGGCTCTGAGTTCAAGCCCCAGGACTGGGGAGAAAAAAGTGAGAAGGCTAGAAAAAGTGAGGGGAGAAAATGAGAAGAAATTACAACTTAAGTGGTTTGCGGAAGTCTCCCTTTGTGACTGAGCAAAAGCAGGAAAACAAATCAGTTTCCTTTCTCTTAACATGAGCCTCTTGCTGTTCCAAAAGTGGTGTAGGTATTTAGATACACAGATTCATATCCTAGCGTCTCCTAAAACAATCCATCTCCTTCCTGTGATGTCCAATCAATCAAACAGTAACAGAACCGAGATCTGAAAAATAAGAGAAAGTCTTTCTCTCTTGGAGTTTCTGGGAAAGTACTCATGCTTAAGGAATTTTAGGAAAACTTCTAGGATAATAGCAAAGATTTATTGTTCTCCTCATCTGACGAACCATAGAATCTGACTTTAGGAGGGACAAAAATTCTGTGTGTGTGTGTGTATGTATGCATGTGCGTGTGTGTGTGTGCAAAGTAATATGACAGAGAAATGAGCAAGCTAGCAGTTATGATGTCAGAAAGACTTGGATTTGAATAATGGAGTCCATTACTTTTGTACTGTAAACATCTTGACACATGATTTAACTTTTCATGCCTCAGCTTTCTCAGAGAGAATGAGATTCATGATACCTGTTTCATCACGTTAGTAAAATAAATGAGATGATGCATGAGGAAACGCGTAATACTCAACAATACCTGATTGTTAGCCAAACACGTTGGTTCCCCATCAACAAGGCAAGTTATTGCTGGAGCCTGAATAGCTCAGAAATAACCTGAATGATGGATGATATCGGCCTTTGATTGTAATTACAAGAAGTGACTTATTTTTATTTGTCTTCAGCCTTCCTTAGCACAGTTAGGGAAGTTTCCTTAAGAGACAGAAGAACTGGACATTTTGGCCTGGAGGGTAAAGTTCCAGAGGAAAAGGGGTATAGCTCATCTTCAAAAGGAGACACAGAGGCTCAACTATAGAGAATTACTGGATGGGAGAATAGCTTGGTCATTTCTGTTAGGAGGGGAAAGCTCTGTTGCTCATAATTACTGTGGAAGTAATTATGCTTTTGTACTGATATCACTAATAACCAATAACTATTAGAGGGAGAAGGTTTATTCTTCTGTCTTTACTGAGGGTGAATTGAGTCTTCCAAATGAATCTTTTCAGTCTTTGCAAAAAACAAAAAATGTTCACTGGATGAAGCTGAGAGCGGGTAGCTCATGCCTCTAACCCTTGCTGAGTTTTGAGGATCACATTTCGAAGCCAACCCAGGTAGAAAAGTCCCTGTGAGATGCTTATCTCCAAATAACCACTCAAAAACTAGGAGTGGTGCTGTGTCTCAAGTGATAGAGTGCTAGCCTTGAGCACAAAGAGACTCAGGGACAGTGGCCAGGCCCTGAGTTCAAGCCCCAGGACTGGCAAAATAAAGAAAGTTCACTGGATGAGATGCCCAGTTGTGAATTGCACAAGTAAAAGTTTCAGTGGGAAAAAAATTCAATGAAGAAACACCAACGATAATGTATCTGAGTGGGCTAGAGGCAAATAGAACAAGTGGTAAGGACTGCCAGATCTTTTTTATTTCACTTTTTTAATTGTAAAGATACTGTACAGAGGGGATACAGTTACACGAGTAAGGTAATGAATACATTTCCTATCGAGCATTGTTACCCCCTCCTTCGTTTGTCCCCTACCATCCCTTCCCTCCCCACCTCCCCAGCTCCTCCCTCCCCCTCCCAAAGTTGTAAAGTTAATTTTCAACATAATGCCTTGTACAGCTCAACCAGATCTTGATGAGCTAAAAGCCTTCAAGTTGTGGAATTACTTGAACATCTATTAAAGTGGAACTCTAGTGGCTCTTCACCTGAGCTCAGAGGTCAGGATGTCATCAAGGAAAGGGAATTAGTTGAGATGACATTAGTTAATATTTGGGTTGTGGGAAAATAGGTCACTTTGATTTTTTTTTTTAAGTCTTTCCAAGGCTTTTCACCACAGGAGACATTATTTCCTAATCTAATTTCAGTGCTCCAAACGAAAGCCTGGTATTTATAGTGTACAACATCCTATTTTTCAAAAATGGTTTTTGCCCCAAACATCCCACAGTCCCAACCCACTGACAAATAAAATACAAGGATGTTTAAATTATACCTTCACAGAAAAATCCATCATTTGTTTGTTTGTTTTGAAAGAAGTTACAAAATGGCCACTGTGATTAATCCAGTGGAAAGTGCCCAAATATTACATGAATAATTACATTAATATTCCATTAATAATTGGTCTCTTGCAAACTATCTCTTTAGTGATTTCAGCGCCTTGGTAAATGATTCTTGTGTTTTCATGGGAATGGAGCCTCTTTGGGGTTTACCCAAAGGGATCTCTTTTCCTTGTTTGGCAAACGGATCCCTGCTGTTCAATCTTTCAAGAGATGAGC